CTCCACCTGCCTCGCAATAAGGAACTCTGAGGTGTTTTCCCTTCAACATGAATGTATTTTTCTTGGCATTCTGCCAAATACAGATCCCATCAGTTTGGGTCCAAGTATAATCCTAAGTGTTGGATAGTTTTTAAGTAAGAAGGGAGCGGAAAATGTTTGAAAATGTCTCTAAACGGCACAGAAGCTATACATTTCTTACCTTTAATTTATTTTTGAGTTATGGTTTCATTTCATGCATTTTTCTTAACTGGTATGTCATATATCAGGACTTAGGTTGAGTTTTTGCATCTATACAGCCCACGACGATGTCATGCGCAATTTTATCTATTGTGGCATTTACGCTGATGCAGCGTTTCTGTGTAATTTTAATTTTTTTCCCGCCATTTTTCTCGAGTGCGGCCTTTCTGCCGGAAATTACGGTATTTTACCTAAAATACAGCTTTCCTTAGTATCAGAATTTAATACAAAAACAGAATAAGCAATAGAAATGTTACGTATCCTAAAATTTTTGCCACTTACCTATTAAATTGTTGTGCTAGGCTTCCATTTCATTAGTTTGGGTTTCAGCAAAATACCTTTGTGACATTGGATCCACACCAGGGTTGTCCATGATAGATGATTCACGAACACTATGAAGTTTTCCACTAAAGTCCATCGTACTTTTCTGAAATCTAGTTGCATTGATGAAATCAACTTCATCCAATTCCTTTTTAGTCAATAAGTTCTTAAGGATTTCGTTCATATCTAAATTGCCATAGGAATCATTACTATCCCAAACTGAATTGTACATAAATTGACCTTCCGTTATTTGCCACACACAGCACCAGAATATACCAGCTATCAAAAGCATATCTAAAGCATTCAATGAGAAACATTATAAGCCTAGAATATTGAGTCACCTGCTCACTGAGGAGCTTCTGTAAAACAAGTCGGAATCACACGCTGTCCAGAGCTCGAATGAAATCTTGGAAAAAAAACCTCTGTGGCTCTTTATATATATATATATATAATGATTCTCTTTTTAAAAAGGGATAAAAAAGAGTTTTTTTATAACCTTGGAAAGTTTCAAATCTCTAAAATGAATAATAATGAATTTATAATTTGAATGTCAGAATTTTAAAGTCCCATAAATTATGTACATATCATTTCATAATATTATATACCATAATAAATTACATAATATTACATGTCATAATAAAATTAAGCAAGTCAATTCTTAAAATAAAATAGTAAGAAAAATGAATATGAAATTATAAAGAGAAAAATAAACAAATTAAAAAATGATGTAGATTGCATTGCAAATAATTTTAAACACTAATTAACTCTGGTGTTTTTTAGATTAATGGGAATGATGGAATGACAAAAAATAGTGATGTAATGACATCATAACCTTAAAACTGGGGAAATGGTATTTCCCCTTTTTGTTTTATATCATAGCATATTTTTTAAAAAATGTAGGAAATCACCCAATTAATATCTTTTGACTTCTTGTTTTAAAAGAGGGTAAAGAGAGTTTGTTTTAACATTTGTGTAAAGTTGAAATTTTTATAACTGGTAAATTTTTTAGATTTTGAAATTTATATGTCTCAAATGTGAAATAGTCAAAAAAATCGAGAACCTTTTAAAAATTTGGGGGAGGGGGAAGAAATTATGTTGAAAAATTTTTATGAATTTCATTTTAAAAGAATTTTTTCAACTCTATCCAATAGTGCAAACAATAAATTTCTGAGATTTTTAGGACTAGGGTTAGGTTACCCTTTTTAGCAACATCAGAAAAGAGTAGAAGTACTTTGTTTGCCAATACATTTTGAAACAATATCAGAATTGTTCACATTATCATTAGACATTTTACCTAAAACACATCTTTCCTTAGTAGCAGAATTTACAACAGAAATATTACGTGTCCTAAAATTGTTCATTAAATGAAGATATATGCAAAAAATAATTTAAATATTAAATTAAAAAGATTACAACATTGCATTGTCATTAACAAATGGAATGTGTACAAAATTTCAACTTCAAGAAGTAGGTTAAACATTGATAGCTAAATTTTAACAATGCAACAAATACCATGAGTGAACTGAATAAAAGCTAATAAAAATGTGTATGCTTGAATATTTTATGTATTTAATATGACAGATTTGTTTTATGAATTAACAGCATAAGTATAGATGGTGGAGTAGCCTTACTGCTATATTGAACTGTAATAAAAATGCCTAAGGAATTTTCTAAAATGAAAAGCTGAATCCTTTCCTTACTTCAGTCATGCACCCTTAAGTTACAAAATTACTTTTATCAGATGACTATTATTATTTTATTTATTTCTTAAGCTGGAATTATGGGCCTAAGATTTATTCAAAAAAACATCTAACTGAAAAATACTTTTGTATATTTATAATTGTAAATTCAGCTTCTAGTATTTATAAATAAAAATGAATCTGTTTGTTTCAAATCAAGTATGCATATAATTTTTTAGTATTGTTAAGTTTTTAAAAGAACATAAAGCATATTCTTTGAATTGATTTACTGATTTTTATACAGAAAAATAGATCTATAAATAAGTCCGTGTAACTTAATATTAAAAAAAAAGCATGAATTTTTCTTATTGAAAGAAGCGCTGTAAAATATTATGTTATATTTTAGGACAGGGCTAGAAAACTTTCCTGCTCTCTTTTTTGTTCTCTTAATTCTATTCATTTTCAAAGCTCGAAATTTTCCCCCCTATATTCAGTTGTGTAAATATGTGATAGTTCTGCTGAATTAATGAAAATATAATTATGTTACATCTTAGTAACATGATTATCAACAATATAGTTCAGACTTAATCAGTAACTGTATTTTAGATGAGTATAAGAACAGAAAGTTTGGATAAGCTTTAAAATTTCAGGCTTCTATTAGCATATCAGTGCATTTGATATTTATCATTAATATTTCATTAACATTTAAAACTTTCAGAACTTTTTCTTTTCTTCCTTCCCCCTACCTTGTTTTAAAGATTTATCCTTATTGTCTGTGTGTGAAAGAAAAAAGTGGAATATTTTAACCCTCTCAGTGTTACGGCCGGAAAATTCCGCATAGAAGGCTGCCTTCTATATTCATTATGCATGAAATTTTCTGCGAGTTTTTAATGTATCTGATTTCGGTATGGATGTATATTGGAAGAAAAGGAATCAAGGTACAAAATGAGAGAGTCATTTTTTAATTAAAATCAAGAAATTACCACTTGTTCATGACATTTTGAGGAACTTTGAAATTTCAGGGCTAAACCCATAACACTCGGAGGGTTAAATAATAATAATTTGTTTTCAAATTACAGTTAAGTTTCTTAAAAAAATTCTTTATAGATATTTTTTGGTTAAAACTATACTGAAAAATTTTGATATATTCTATCAGCACCTATTGTAGCTAAAGTTTGGAAAAGTAACCAGAAAACATTCTCTGATTCAATGACACAATCCTACAAACGCCTGCTATGAGGGAGGCCCCCTTTTTTCTCTTTTTATTTTTCTTTTGTTTGTGTGCATGCATTTGTGAATAAGCAGTTGTCAGTTTCAACAGTGCATCCACAAATTTTAACTTTAGGGCAAGATTAATAAGCAATTTGCACATACAGCGGTGGCCAAAATTGTGGACACTTTTGGAAATGTTTATGTTTTTGAACTTTGTATGCTTATAGAAAATGTTACGTTTCGCAAAAATGCAAACTTGTATATATCATTTTAAAGAGAATTTATTACTGAATTCTCACTGCAATCATCACTATCTAATGTATATCCATAACTATTATCGTTTAATTTTTTTTTTTTTTTTTTTTTGTATTGCAAATAATTGAATTTTGTGTTTTGTATTGAATTCAGTAATAAATTCTCTTTAAAATGATATATACAAGTTTGCATTTTGTGAAACGTAACGTTTTCTATAAGCATGCAAAGTTCAAGAACATAAAAATTTCCAAAAGTGTCCACAATTTTGGCCACCACTGTAGATGTGTCAAAAGAATTTCAAAGTTGTCTATTGTGCTATGATTCATTAGAAGCTGTAATTCACAAAACTCGGTATATACTTTGCCACTACAAAGTGAGTCAATCATAAGATAGTAAAAATGGAATATATGATATAGCAAAATACATTTGTGTTCAGACACCTTTTTCTCCAGGCATCAATTGAGGTTGCATGCCATTTCCCTTTTAAGTCACATTTTAATTTCATGTAGCTGTTAGAGTACTTTTTTTTTTTTTTTTTTTTTTTTTTTTTTTTTTTTTCTTCTGTTGTGGTGGTGTGTGTGAAGAATATCTTTTTCTTGAAAAAGTACCATCTTTTTCATGAAGAAATAGAGTAGTCGACTGTTCATCTTCTCATTGTAAATCCCAACCATTGTAGTGATTTAAAAAGAAATGTGGTTAGAATAAATAAAGTACCAAATGATATGGCTTTAATGGAAAAGTATCTTTTCTTAATGACGTTCAGAAAAACCATCTTCTTATGTCTTGGTCTTATTTCATTTTTTTTTAAATTGACTTAACATGTGCTACATCATCTAAGTTTATATTTTTGTTTTCCTGTAATGGTAGTTGTTACAAAGAATATCTGTTCTTAGCTCATTCTACAGCCATATTAATTCTGTCCATGTCCAAATTGCTATTCAGAAAACATATAAGCAATTAAAGCCACAAAGATGAGCAAATTTAAAGTACTTTATAGCAATATTTAATGCCAAGTTCAGAGAGAGAAAAATTTTAAAATGTTTTTGCTGTTTAAGTTTTTCATGCTATAGTCAAATGCTGTACCATTTGCTGGAACATAAGTTTGTGCCTATAGTCTGTAAGAGGTAATTAAACAGCCAGTCTTGTCAGTTATGAATGTGTTACAAATAGTGTTGCTGAGAAAGAAAATGAATAATTATTTTTAACTAATTATTCTTAGTTCTTATTAGCTATAATTAATTATTCTTAGTTCTCTGTTAATTCTTATTTACTATTATATATTCAACTATATTTTAGATGCCAGACAAATGTTCGAACTCTAGCAATGTTGGCTCTCACAATAACACAGCTATGTTTTTGGCAACTGTAGACAGTGGTGGGGGTGTTGGGCCCCCTACGGATGGTGAGATGTCTTCTTTATTGAGTCAGAGTGGACTTCAGTTTTCAAATCAACTTTCATCTGGAATGAACACTGCTCAGGATATGGACAATGCTATGTTTTATTCTATAGCATCGCTTGGTACAGATCCGCAGCTACAGTCTCCTACTCTGTATACCAAGCCAACAGTTATTTCAAGCCATCAAACAACACCACAGACCCCTCAGACTCCTACTAGTATTCCAGATATAATTCTTACAGGTAAGATGTGTGTGCTCTGTGTTGAATTGTGAGAAAGTTTATTATCTGCTGACTTCTGTGTTGGTCATTACTGCCTAAATACATCACTAAAACTTTACTTAGATTAAAATACCATGTTTTTATAATTCATTTATCTTTTTTGTTATTATTATTATTATTATTAATTAAAGAGAGGGGTATGATACCTAAGCACTCAGAATTCATTATGATGTGAACTCAGTCTTAAAAGTGGAAAATAGACATTAGCATTGAAGATTTTTGTTATTTTGTTATCTTATTATTAACATGTAATTGTCACCAATATGGTTAGTAAATTATGAAGAGAAAATTTACCAACTGTTTGCTTACAAATAGAGCAACTATCCATTTGGAAAGTAGAGCAAATGCTAGCTCGTGGTCTATAAGTACTTACTAAAAATGTACATTGAATTTTCTAGATATTTGTTGGATTGAATTGGAAAAGTAATCAAGTATAAGTATGAAAATTGGGGAAGTTAATTGTAGTGATTAAAAACTTCTCACTGTGAATAGCTAGAGTAAGAAACAGAAAAAAATATGCACCAAATTTTTACCGCTGCACTTGATGAAGAACCAGTGTATGCCAAAAGACAACTTGTTTATACTGGTCACACTTCAAGGAACATACTCTTGTGTTTAGAATTCCAAAATGATAAACTATAGTTTGCATTTTATAATTTCTTAAAATGTGAATTGAACTGTACATAAAATTTGGACTTTAATGTTTTAAGTGTCAATTTCTGTGATTTAGTATGATTCTTTTAAAGATGCATGACAGTAATGTTTATATTATCAACCAGTTGTTTCAGTGTTAGTTAAAAGAATTTAAGCAACTCAGTTTTTCAAGGGTCCATATCTCTTCAACCCACCAAAAGGTCTGTGTTGTGTGTCAAGTTGTTCTATTTTCTTTGACAGACTCCGAGAAGTTTTGTGTGAGCAGGTATATGAAAGATGTCTAAATTATGTAAAGCAAAAGATAAAAGTTTATTGCAATTCAGAATGCTAGAATAATGACCCACACTGTAGTAAGTAAATTTTACTCTTTCTGTTTAGTAAACCAAAATAAATAAGTACATTTGTGATATTCATATAATTTTTTTTTAATTGAAAAAGGTTTTTTTTTTTATTCAACATGTACTCAAATTAGAAATTTAACATTACTAAGTAGTTCAAATATCAAATAGTCTATCTGCATTACTAATATTAGGTATGCAAATCATGTAAAAGCTATCATAACAACAACATAAATGTGAAAAAGGGGCCTAATTCAGGAGAAACGACATTCAGTGTAGTCAGTGTCACCAACAAATGAGTTAAGATCTAACGGAGGCAAGTTTCGTAACAGTTCCTTTAATTATAGTTGTAGGAATGTACAATGTTATTCAATTAATTTAAAAAACAATGTGTTACTTTCTTTGCTATCGGATTTTTAACTTGGCAAGTTTTAGTTGTCAATGAATTATATTAAAAAAATTTGACTTCTTCAACTAGAAATTACCTTGCCAAGTTAGAAATCCAATATCAAAGAAAGTAATAAATTGTTTTTTAAACGACTTTTTAAAATTTAAACGTTTTTTAAACTGTTTTTGTACAGCTCTGAATAAAGGAACTGCTGTGGAATTTGCCATCCATTAGATCTCAACTCTTTTGTTGGTGACACCAACTACACCAAACATCATTTCTTCCAAACGTGACCTCTTTTTCTCATTTATGTTGTTGTTGTGATATCATTAATTTTTGAAAAGCTAAATTAAAAATAATGTTCTTATTTAACTTAAATGAAAAAGTGTCTAAACAAATACATGACCTTCAATTTTTTTCTTGCTTTTAGGCTGCGCTGGTTTTTTGAAGTTTTAGATTTTCAAAGAAACGTAAAAATATAAACAAAAAAGTTTAAACTGCTATTTTAATTATTAAATAATATAAATGTTAAAATTTTATTTTTAAGTTTAGAATCATGTTTCCTTTTTAAAATTTTCTGTTGTTTCATTTGCATCTGGCACCTGTTTCATTACTTAAATTTGAGTGACTGAATGGCAACATTTTTATCATTTGAAAGCTGTGTTTGTATTCTTTCATGATATTGCTATATTTGGTTTATCACTGTACTTAGGCCCAAACCTACAAGCAAAATTAAAAAAAGACCCGATCCTGCACTCTACTTCTGTGCTGTCATTTCATCTATTATAAACAGGTTTTTATTCTTCACCTTAGTCAAAGTTGATTAGCATTAAAGTAGCACCGAAACTGGGGATCAGTGCAATGCCTGGTGCCACTGTCAAATGCTCGTTATGAGTATTATTTCGTTTAACCTCAATAATAATGTAGTTTTTTGAAGTTTTAGATTCTTTCCTTTATATATGCCTAATGATATACCTTGCCAGATTTAAAGTATCTAAGTCATTTAGAAGTGGTCTAGGTTTTTGATAAATGAGTCAGTCAGTGAGTGATATAAAGGACACTTTTCAGTCCTTAATAATTTCCGTAATTATAAGTGTATCTACATGATTAATGAAATTTGGGATTCTAGGTGTTCAAGGAGGCTCTTTTAGACATACAAAATTGCAAGTTTGTAGGTCTAATAGTTTTTGAGTAATGCAGGGGTCGAAAGTAGCTTGAAATGGTTCATGTAAGATACATGTGGCCAACGTCTCACTGTTTCCTTTTCCATCTGTTCCAAACTTGCCTGACACACTGCAGTATGTCTAAATATTGGCTAATTGCTAAACTCTTAAAAAAAAAAAAAAAAAAAAAAAAAAAAAAATGTTAGTGCATTTTTAGGGAAGACAACATAGGTATTACTGAAATATTACTGAACAACTGTATTACTGAACAAAGCTATGTACTGAAATTTTTGTATGTAAAAAAGAATTCAATAACCATTTTCATTTGTCAATTTACTAATGACAGTAATGAATTTTAGATATTGTTGTAGGAATTCAGAGTTATGTATAATCTTGGAAACTTCACATTTTTATCAGTAAGTTTGCATTCTGATGGATTTTGAGTGTTTATGTTAAGAAGCATAATATTTAGCTAACATTTTATATATACTCTGGTGATCCAAGTGTTTAATAACATGTTTACCTCTAAGATTGATTATGACTCTGTGTCATGTTTTGTTAACAGTATATTTTACTCGATCATTGCTTTATTTGAAGTAGTTAGTTATCTTCTGTTCAGCTATTGTGGTGAGATTTCTGTGGATATTTTCAAATTAACAGTATTTAATATTTAATTCTACGCATAAGTTTTATTACATAATTGTACCATTTATTCAAATCTGCCTTTCCTTCCATGCCGAGGATGGACTATTTCTCTTTAATTTTTTTTAAACGATTAACACATTGCAATAATGCTGTTTTTATTAAAACATTTTCATACAATTTAACACTGTATATTTTCAGTATCCTTTTACTAATTTTCAAAACTTCTGTAATACAATGTAAAAGTCTCCTTTATCTGGAGGGAAGGTGAATATTCAAAATTATGAAATTTTGTGCTCACTTTTATATTGCCTTTTAATGAATTAACTTTGTTAGTAGTTACTGCACCATCTTCATGATAAATTTTATGTTTTTTACCTATCAAAAACCCCTATAAGTAACCCATAAAAATTAATATGAACCTCAAAGGCAAACTTTCTTGCAGAATTTGACATGCTTTTTGGATACTTCTTTAAAGCATTTCACTAAATAATGAAGTTATTTTACAACCGAAAATTTGTTTGGGGCCCGCTAGCACACAAGTGGTAAAGTTGCTGATCTCTGGTAGTTCAACCTGGGTTCAATTCTAGGCTAATAAGCTGTCTCCATGAGGGTTTTCATGGCTTTTGTCTTGTTTAATGTGGATATGAGTAAGTTTTCCTTAGAAAGTCTTCCACAAAGGCCCATCTGTCCCCTTGGGCAGATAGTGCTAGCATGCTTTGTTATGAACAAATAAACCAAACCAATATTTCACTTGCATTACTTTGGCTGTTGACTGCATAGTAGTAAATTACTGTATGATGTTTTTGGGGCAGGTGAAGAGGAATTATTTCAATTAATTTCCAAGTTGTAAATAATAATTATTTTAACTTGTAATCAGATTGACTGTCAAGCCTTTGTTGTGAATCTGAAAAATTAGAAAAGTCTGGATCAGTTTAAAAATTTTGTTAATTCTGTGTTTGGCACATAAATTATACTTATTTACAACTCAACTGATTTGCATTTTGATTCAATCTGGAAATGTAGCTAGGGTAAAGTCATTTTGTTTTGTTGATTTTTAGTCCGTTTTTATCTGTATTATGCATTCAAATTTCATAACACTGTTTGTCACCTGAAATACATACTGTTTCTATTGTGTGGATAGTTTTATTATAAGGCATCTTCCTAAAATAAGATGGTTGTAGAATTTTCTGCATTCAGGCCATAATTTTTCTAAGTTAAATTTCTTTCATTTGTGCATAAGCTTTCCTTTAATTATAATGCTGCATAATTTTCCTTTCTTCTCCAATCTTTTCATAATCTAAAATTGTAAATATTGGAGAGGGGAAGAGGAATGCGTATGTTTTGCCCTTTTATCTTTTATTTATTTATGTATTTTTTCTCTGAGATTTTGACAATTGAGGGCTCACAGCAGATTTGAAATTTTGGAAAGCTACAAAGTAGCATAGCATCGCCAAATATCGTTATCATTTACATTTTTTTTTAAGTTGCCTGTTTCTAACAATTCAATAACTAATTTTTTTATCATTATTTGTTTCTAGATGAGCAGGATCAGGTGTATTTTTTTTTTTTTTTGAGAAATGCTGAAGATTCCCTGTTGAAAGACATTCCTTGTTAGTAAGATATCAGCTTTCTAAATCAAAGAGTTATATTTCTTCCCTTCAGAATTGGAGTCTTAGGTATGTGTGATTAAGGTATTTAGTGGGTAATTGTTTGAACAAGCGGCAAGCGATCAATTTATGTGAACGTCTTAAGGAAAAAACAGAAAGAGAAACA